CTGAGCACGCCGCCCCACTCTGCTTCTCTCCCTCCCAGGCTTGCAGCGCAAAACAGCTGATTGGCGCCGCCAGCCTGGGAGGTGGGAGAAGTGGAGCGGTGATGGCGTGCTCGGGGAGGAGGCGGAGCAGAGGTGAGCTGGGGCGGGGAGCTGCCGCAGGGGGGGCGCCTCAGGGCAGAGAGTGGGGAGCTGCCACGGGGGGGGGGCGCCTTAGGGCGGAGCGGGGGCAGAGAGCTGCCACAGGGCTCAGGGATGGGGGGACGCAAGGTGGAAGTTTCGCCTAGGGCGCGAAACATCCTTGCACCCACCCTGAATAAGCCCCCTAACAATGAGATCAGGATTTTTTTGGAGTTCTGATTAAATAAGTGCCATTCCTGTTATGACCCGATCAAACCACCAATACCTCTCATTCCTGCCCTGCACACCCCTGCTATTCCAGTCCTGGGCTCCCCACACAGCTCTGCCAATGCCCCTCAATCCTGCCCTGCAGCCCTCCTGCTATTCCAGTCCTGGGCTCCCCACACAGCTCTGCTGATTCCCTCGATCGTGATTTCTTTTTTTTTTTTTTTTTGCTGTTCCTGTATCAGGCTTCTCCAGGGTAGAATTTGATAATCATAATGAACAGGTTGGTTTTTTTTTTTCACTTATGGCTGGGATTCACAGATGTAATTTCACTCTGAGGGACATTGTTTACCTAGTTCTGTGGAGGGGAAAGATGCCTAGCTCTCATTAGACCATTCTATACTACGGTCTTCTTTTTATCTTGTTCAATTCCACCTTGGCTTTTGTACCCCTCCCCTCATGCAGGAGAAAAGTTATGACCTGGTACAAGATGGGTGAGCGTTTTCCAGATGTCACTTCCTGCCTCTACTCTGCAAGTAGCACATTTCTCTGGTGATTCAAGTTAAGTAATGTATGCAAAGAGAAGTATGTCTCAGCTTTACGCACTTCTTCTGTGGCTCCTCATCGCTCCTTGTAAGTGTTTATAGAAACTTATTCAAAGAGAGAACAAAGAAAGGAGACCAAGAGAGAGGGGATGTGGAAGAAATTAAGGGACAGTACTAGATAGATAGATAGATTAAGCAAACACGCAAGAAAACAATGACAGACTGAGAGAATAAGAGAGCCGGCAGGCAGGCAGACACAGGACATCAAGGACATGGGTCTCCCAATGAAGTTGATATTCTCTTGTGTCTTTAATCTCTCCCCTGCCCTTTTTCTCATGCTGTCTGATTGCAGAGGGTAGTATGGGCACTTTGTACAGATCCCTAACCCTTTGCTCTTGCTATCTCTCTGTCAGTTCTCTGTGAAGAGGGGGAGCAGGTGGTACTGTCCCAGGTACCCAGGTGGGTGACACAGAAGACTGAGACCATGGCCAAACTGCACTGCTACCAGAACAACACAGATCATGGCTGGATGTACTGGTACCGACAGCCAGTAGCACAGTGGGGCCTGGACCTCATAGGAGTGCTAATTAAAGGAACCCCAGAACCCACTTTTGAGGAGCATTTCAGGGACAACAGATTCAGTATGGTACGTGACAATGACAGACACTGCACACTGCAGATAGATCTGCTGAAGACCAGGGACTCAGCCCTGTATTTTTGTGCCACCAGTCACACACTGTTGCAAAATCTTGAAGCTGACAGACAAAAACTGGACTTGGGTCTCAAAATATACTACCTTGGGTGGCTGTGATCTGTTCAGAACTCATGCACTAAGCAGGACTAGCCCTGATCAGCATATGAATGGGAGCCTTCCAAGCAAATCCAAGGAAATGCAGGGAGTGGTGTCAGTGACTTCTTCCCCTTTAGTCAGTACGGCTCCCAATGCCCCAGTGTGATGCTAAGGGGTGCTCTGCTGCTGGAAGTGCCATTATTTGGAAGCAATATAAGAGCTAAAGCCCAGGGCCAGTCATGATGCTTAAAGATCCCAAAGCAATTTTTGCAAGAGTTAAGATTTTATGGTTAACTGTTTCCTGAAAAAATTCCAGCAGGAGCACTATATTCCTCTCACCTCAGATTTCCCTTGCAGCATCAGGGGTTATGGCATTAACTCCTTTCTCTCTGTGCTAATGTTGTGCAGTGTCCTTCCAAGTGAATGGCCCTGTGTATAGTCTGTAAAGCACTTTGTGAATCTCTGGGTTCAAAGACACTGTAGGAATGCTGGTCCCTCAGTCATGTGGGCCCAGATCTTCAAAGGTATTTAGATTTGAGGAGCTAGGCCATGGTGCTTATATAAATGGATGGAGGAACCACATGAGTAAAAGAGACAGGCTTCTTGGATTAAATGAGCCAGGATAGGAAACCATGCCCTGCATGCACACAGACACACACACGCGTGTATACACACACACACATTTATTAAACCTCTACATAGACTCGGTTGGTGGCTTTTTATTTCTTCTGATCTGGTTCGCCCCATCCCTGACTTATTCCATTAAACTAAGTGCTGAGAGTCTGAGTTCATGCTCAAAGAATAACAAAGCCATAGTGTCTTCCCAGTATTCTCACCTGATCTCATGGATCATGTATGAATAATCTCCTGTTCTGCTGGGATTGAGTGTGTCAGTCCATGGGCTTCTGGGTGGGAATGCATGCATCTGTGTCTGTGCTGAATTTCTAGAGCTAATCAAAACCCAGGAAACATGTTTATTCAAAGCTTTGTCAGATAAAATTCCCTATGAATATTTTCTGACCAGCTCAGCTAAGTTCTCTATGGGTGCGAGTCTGACTAGGTATGTGCATGTTTGTTTGTGACTTTACATGTGCATCAATACATATGATTCTATGGGGGGGGGGGCATTCATGTGACACTCCATACCTGCCTCTGAATGTATGTGACAGCACATATCCTTCTGCAGTGTATTTGTGCCTTTGCTATTCTCTGCATGTTCTTGGGTGTGTGTCTGCACATGCTTCTGTGTGTATATGCCTGTGTAACCACTCAGTATTATGTGTCATTTGTATCATGTGCTTGTATTCATGTCTCTATGTGTATCTGAGAGACCAGGTGGGTGAGGTGATATCTTTTATTGGACCAACTTTTTTGGGTGAGAGAGACAAGTTTTCCAGCTACACAAAGCTCGTCTTCGGGTCTGGGAAAGTTACTTAGTGTGTCATAGCTACATGTAATTTCCTGGGACTGACATGACTACAACAACACTGCCTACAATCTATATATATCTGCACAGCTGTCTGTACATGAGTCTCTAGGCTGGGTACCTTTGTGTGGTTTCCCACCTGTCACAGCTCCCCTCTCCCTCTCATAAGCTATAAGTACCAGTTTGGCTTAGTGAGGGGTAGTAGGGAGGGAGCAGAGAGAGCATAACAAGTTCCTGCTTAGAGAAACCCAGGAACCCCTCTATCCGGCCAGGTGTCTGTTTGGTACGATCACCCCCAGCAACATCATCTGTTTCCCCTGGTTTATTCAGTATAAGCACCAACCCTGCCATTTCCCCAGGCCCTGCCTCTGCTGGGTGTCTCTGGGGCGGGGTTGAGGGAGGAGATGTTTTTGTATGAGGTTGAACGGTTGTGGGGACAGCAGGGCCACGGTGATACATTCCCTAAGGAGGCCTTTACAAAAACCTCCCTCACGTAGTGGATAGGATGCAAGGGCCCCTGGGGTATGTGCACTTCTTGACACCCAGGGCTCCACTGGGAGCTAACTGCACATTTTCAAGGTTTTGTTCATCCCAACCCTGAAGTGTTCCTGGGCCAGATCCACAAAGGATGACTCCTAACCAAGACCACACAGCAGACCCCGGTGGGAGGAGATTCCCTTTGGCTCACCCAATAGCTCTTCTATCTATGGGACCCCCCGGGACAGGACAGTCTGCACCAGATGGGCATCCTCTGTGGAGGAATAAAATGTGGGTGGTTGCCTTTGAAAGTCAAGCCACATGGCAGCCACGTTCCTCCACATGCCACCTTTCTGCACCTTCCACCGGTGTCTCAAAGTGTCTTTCCCAGAGGGGCCAGTGTCGCCGGAATCCCACCCCAACGTGGCTGGGGAAAACCGTGGTTGATTTTGCCAGGCCTAGCAACACTGTGTTCTGGCAGCACCGTGTACTTTGGAGAGGGGACCAGACTCATTGTCTTAGGTAAGTGACTTCTAGGAATTAGGGATCTAAAAAAGCCTATCACCTCCCATCTTCTCCATCCTCCCACCCCCAGCTCTCCCAGGTGAAAGTATACCCTACAGGAGATTCTGCAGGATGCTGTCCAGACCAGTTTTCAATGTCTCACATGAGGGGCTTCCACCACTTCCCTGTGGGAGACCGTCCCACAGCCTAATCCATTTTATCACTAGACAATATTTCGTAACACAGCCAGCCATACTTTGGCCAGGGGGCCAGGCTGACAGTGTTGGGTAAGTTTCCTCTGGGCCATTCTGTCTATTATCCCAAACAGGGTCTGTTTCCTCTCCTCCCTGGGTGTTACAAGCTGATTATCACAGTTCCCCCTCCCCACCTTTGCTCTGGGGAGCGGTGTATTTTGAGATGGTCTTTGTAGCGCTGTGATTCATCTCCAGCACAGTTTGGTTCCGGGACACGAGTGACTGTATTAGGTAAGGAAAGAAGCTCAGGCATTAAATAATTGGTGACAATGAAATACCTTTTTCAAGAGTAAATGAAAAAGTCATGTGTGCAAATTTGTCCAGAATAGGGTCTGAAGGAACAGGTTGCAGTATGGGATGGGTGAAAACCAGAAGAAGATTCCCCTCCCTTCTCCATGCACACCACCACCACTGCCCTTTGACTGCAGGAAAGGGTCACTGCTTTTAAAATTACATGAGAACAGGAGTCTCAACGTGGACTCGGTTGTGGGGTAGGGTTGAGATTGTGGAGAGAGAGAGAGAGAGAGAGAGTTATTCCAAATGAACACAGGGGTTTTTCATCATATCTGTCCTCCATAAAAACATCATTTTCTAACACTGTACTCAGTGCTTGGAGGTTGTTGGGGGGGCAGGGAGCGGAAGACACATTATCTTATATAAGATTACCTAAATCTGTTGTGTCTCTTTAGATAATCCACACCCTCTCCCCCAACTGGTAACTTCCCTGAGGCTGCCTTATTCCCATAGCTGAAGGCAGGTGATTCCTGTACCTCTTCATAGCACTGTGTAAACACACCACAGTACTTTGGCGAGGGTACCAGGCTGACAGTGTTGGGTAAGTTTCTTCGTGGACATTCTGTCTATTATCCCAAGCAAGGTCTGTTAGTGAAGGGATGTCTGACACGAGCAACAGACAGCAGTAAGGGGTTGATTTACTAGACAGGAATAAATGAATGTAATTGCTTGGATAAAGGTGACTAACGGTAGGTATGAGAACTATTTGCAAGGGTGCAAAGAGGGAAAGGAGGCCCCATTTCCAGGATCATTTAAAGTGAGTACTGGGAGAAAGCCCTAGAGACTGCACTGCAGGGGGTAATCCTGCCCTGTCTATGGGATTGGGGAAGGAAGGTAAATCTTTGCTATCTCTAACTTCTATGATGTGACTCAAACACCCAAATTCCCAGAGGCTTGCAAATAGGCATCAGGCTGACATTTCACCAGGTAAATTCAGGATTCAAGGAAGGGTAAAAAGAGCAGAGAACAGGGACCACCTGAGAAATGGCAGCCCCTTGGGGGGCAGTGGTGTTTCTAGACTGTGGGGTGTTTCTAGGCTGTGGGTCTATCACTGTGTAACTACGCTGAAGCTTACTTCGGCGAGGGCACCAGGCTCACAGTGCTAGGTAAGTGAAATCCAAGCAGATTAAAAGTCACTGCTGTAAAGGCACTGGCAAATTTTGGAAGGGATCAGGTTGGGAATCAGGGGTGTCCTGGAATATCTCCTCTAGTGCCTGTATAGCCTGAAAAGGCTCAGTGTTAGGAGGCAGGTGGGCAAAGAGTCCATGGGAAGATCTAGAGAAGGATTTTTTTCTCTCAAAGCTTGTCACTTTCTTTGTCTCCCCAAAGCATTTTAAGTGCAGCATATTGTGCAAACAAATGTAGCTGATGTTCTGAGCTCAACTATCACTGGTATGTAGCCTCTGGCATTACAATGTGTTTTAGCTGAAAGCGAAGAAATGTTATTTGGACAGCAACTCTTTCCAATAAGTGCCCTGTGGTTCTCAAATCTCCACCTGGAACAGCCCATGAGGGTTGAGCAGAAGGGAGCTCAGTTTAATGTCTCCTCCAAAGCAGTTTAATGTGCCTTCCAATGGGGCATCATCCCCTCTTCCCCATAGCACTGACACTATGCCAGCACTGGGTGCTCCAATTAGAGGTTAGAAGGAAGCCTGGTTTAATGTCTCCTTCACCTTAACAGAAATTTCAGGGTAATAATCACTGCCATTTGGGCTACTGCCTGGAGGTTTTAGCAGTAAGCAAATAGGCTGTGTAAACACACAGCCGGTATATTTTGGAGCGGGGACCAGGCTCACAGTTCTAGGTAAGAAAATGCATCTTCCAAAGTATCTCTGAACCAAGCTTAGCAAAATGGACAGTTCTTGTCTGAGGGAATTTGTCCCGATATAACTATTTCTTTTTTGGTTAGACACATTGCAAGGAGAGTGGGCGTTTTCCCATTTAACCCCGATAAGATCGGTGTCTAATATGTAACCATGAGAAAGGTGGACATTCTACCTTATCGTTTCAATTTTACCTTAGTAGCTAACTTTTCCCACAGTTGCACTGGTTTCAGTGGGTGGCAGGATAAAAAGTGGTCCTTGGTCATTTAAGTAAACAAAGAAATGGAGAGAAAAAGAAAAACACACAGAAGAACCCAGACAGGAACAGAGGCAAAGAGACATGTGGAGTCAGAGAATGTGAATGTGGAAGCCATTCGGAGAAGGGATGAGAATTCACCAAAACATCTCGCTACTTGAACTAAAAATAATAAAGCTGGAGATAATATAGAAAGCAAGGCAATAAGCCTTCATGCCACGATTTGAGTGTTTCAAGAAAGAGACTGAGGGAGCTCATTGTATGTAACCCAGGGGAGAGCTGGCTCAAGGTGATGGTGGGACTTGATCAGAGTCTGTAGATCCCTCCAAAGGAACAGAGAATTATCTACATAAATGGAAACAGAAAGAACGGGAAGCAGCTGCCTGAAGCAAAGGTTGGAAAGGTTTAGGGCAAGCTATTAACAGATATTTCTGTGCTAGTGTTACATGGCATGGGGAACAATTACCTGCTGGCACAAGCCAGTGAGCAGCTTATGCCATGAGAACACAAAATGTACAGGTTCCCCCCATACTCCTGTGACTAGTGTTTACTAGCCTCCAGCAACTGCTGCGGGAGAGGAGATCAAGGCTCCCTTGGGCTTTACATTTTGGCTGCCTCTGCCTTTGAAGACATTCACTTTGATTATAACAGTTTCACGCTGTGTTCTTACAATTCCCCGCTGAACTTCGGCCAAGGGACCCAAGTGACTGTCTTAGGTAAGTGGAGGCAGCCAGCAAAATTGCGGGGATCTAACAGTTGTTTGCCACTGGCCCTGGGAGAGGCTTCTATGGTGACACATTGTCATCTTCCACACAGATAGACAGAGACCAGTATTTACCAGTCAGTGATGCTCAGACCCTACTGAGAATGCCATGCATGGTATAGACCCGCTCTCTACAGCTCCGCTGAGACCATATCTTGAAAACTGCATTCAGTTCTGGGTCCCTCAATGCCAGAAAGATATTGACAGAGCAGAAGGGGGCTGAAGGATGAGAAACAATTAAAAGAAAATATGTTTCACTTGACTAAATGCCAGCTAAGCATTCTACATGCATGGGAAAGGTAAGCAGGGGGAGGAATTATTTAGGGTGCTCCAAGAGGGTAAGTATAGCATCAACAGGATAAAACTGAGGAAAAGGGGGGAATACCAGGCTGCAAAGGGGTGAGTATGTCTTAACAGGCAGATCAGAAGATCTGTTAGGCTGTGCAATGGCAGGGTATGGGATGGGGAGTGGCCCAAGGGAAGTGGGAATTGCTTAGGACAATGAAGGCTAGGATTGCATAAAGCACTATACAAACAGGGTACAAGTAACTCACACTGGGAGTAACTCCCACTCCTTATGCAAGGAGAAGCCCTCCTGTGTGGGCTTGGAGGAGTGGGTGGAAAGAAGGTGGAAGGCTGGAAAGGATTAAAGCTGGATGGAATGTGACCTGATTCTAGGACCACAATGCTGTGTTCAGCACTCCCAAACAGACAGATTCCCTCATCACCCAGAGGCCAAGAATTGCTCTCCTGGGGAAGGACAGATGGGAGATTTCAGGGTCTTTGGCTGACAGTGAAGAGGAGGAAGAGAACTTCTCCTTCACTGCAGCCCACCGCCTCCTTCCCTCCTCTCCCCTCTCCAGCGAGAACTTTGCTGATAGGGGTGTCAGGCTGTGTTCTGCAAATATACTGTACTTCGGAGAGGGAACACGGCTCACAGTTCTGGGTAAGAGATACCAGCAATAGTGTCTGGGACAGAGCTAACAGGTCATAGGCTGGTAAATACAGCAAGAAAAAGGTTTGGGGAGAGACACTGAGAGAGACAGAGGGAGAGGAAGGGAGTTGATGACTGGGGAAGAGAACAAACTAATCAGCCCCATTACTGATATTAAACCTGTCCTGGGCATAGACAATTGCAGTATTAACTTTGCCAACATTTTCTTGCCATGCTAATAAAATTATTGACAAGAAAGAAAGACTCTCTTAGCTGGACTCTCTTAGAAATGAAGCCCATGCAGTGCCAGCAGCCCACAATTATACTACACCTATTCAGAGGTGGTGCCTCTGCCCCCTCCTCCATCCCGATCCAGTATAATTCCTGGGATGACTCTGTCTTCCTATTGCAATGTCTAAGGTAGCATCTGTCCCTGAAAAGGTGGTGAGGGGAAGAAGATTGAGGGTACAGAGATTCATTAGCAACAGGACTATCCTGCAGCAGCTGGGAGAATCATAGAATCATAGAACAAACAGAGAGATTGGATGGGGGTGTAAAGGAGGGGGAAGGTGGGAGAAGGAACTTAGAGGATAAACATTGACCCTGGGAGTGTGTGGTGATGCTGAGGCTGAGGTGCAGAAGTAGGGGATGAGGTGCTTTACTGTGGAAAGGGAAATGAGGGGTCTTTTGAAATATGAGGTCTGATCCAAATCATCATTGGGGAGCACATACAGGATATTAGTCTTCTAAATGCTGCTGAGACAGCACAGCTAGATGGCTAGATGCACATACTTTCTCCTGAGCATGCCTTTGGCTACGATTCTGGAAGAGTCCAGCATTTTAAGGGTTAACAATGGCATCTCGTGGGGAGCACTCCAGGACTGGGTAGTGAGTAGTTCTGATGTTGCAATGTGAAGCTGTGCTCCACGGACATCCAGTATTTTGGAGCCGGAACTCGACTGACAGTTCTGGGTGAGTGAACATGATGACAAAATAACATAACATATACCCCACGCTGGGAGAGGACTGGGTTTGGGAGTGTGAAAGGGGCAGGATTCTTGAAGCATGAATTGGTAAAACTGAATGAAGAAGGAAGCCTTTGGGGTGGATAGCAGCATGTAGAATATTCTCCACAAGTGTCATTGCTTGAGTTATTTAAAACTAGGGCAGGACAAAGCCCAGGAGAGTAGACTATAGAGAACAATTCTGCACTGGCTAGGAGAAAATAGACTAAATACAATCTAACGGCACTTTATGGAGATGGCAGTATCCCCTATCCCCACCAAAGCAACCCTGTTCTGCCCAGTCCCTAAGGAGTGTAGAGTGGTTTTGGTGGGGTTTGGATGGAGAGGAGGATTGGAAGGGATGGTTTTGGTGCAGCTCCAAGAGGCTGTGAACTGGAGCAAACACACAGTATTTTGGAGCAGGGACACAGCTGACAGTTCTGGGTGAGTAGAAAGAGAGAAACAAACAAACAAAGAAAGAAAATAGCAGGCAAAGAGACTAGAATAAAAAACAGTTTTTAGAACCATTTCTGGTGGCAGCCAGATTGATGAACTTGTCTCTAATGGGGTTAATCTAGAGAAAAGAGGGACAGAGAAACAGACAGACAGAGATTAAAACAGAGAGTGAGGGATGAAGCAGAGAAACATAAAATAATGAAAAGCAGGTAAGTAGAAACGAGTCTCTGTTCCAGGGCATTTGTAGCATGGGGGGGAAATGCTGTGCTCTGGTTCTGGCTCAGTGCAATATTTTGGAGACGGAACCCGACTCACAGTTCTAGGTAAGAAAAATAAATAGTTTTATCATCTCATGATCTTTCTCTAGCAGCCCAGTGGGATCTGTACATTTCCTAAGAAACCCATAGCCAATAAAAGGCATTTTCATTTTGGGAAGATCTGAAAAAGGAAGGTGTAAACACTTGGGTGAAATCGCGGCTCCCTTGGCATCAATGGCAAAACTCCCACTGACTTTAATAAGGCCAGCATTTCACCCCCAGAATTTTTTTTCTTGCTGGTTTGTGATTGCACCAATCTATATCAGAAAAGATAATTCTGTGCCTAACATTATGTGATCTGCCTGGGACATGTCTGGAGAGCATATTTAAGGAGAGTGTGCTGGATTTGTAATAAAAAGGTGACGAAAAAAAGGAATAAAAAAGGAAACAGACAAAGAAGACACACAAGAGAGAAAGACAGGGAAGGATGAAATACTAAGGAGGAAGATGATTGGTTTTAAGCGTATCCATGAGGCAATAACTAGGAATAAAGGGGCTGGAACTGAATTAAAGAGAAATCCTTCACATAGTGTATCGGGAATCATTTCTAGTGTGTGTGGGGAGAGACCTTGAAATAGTCTCCAAAGGGAAATGGTCGAAGCCCCTTGAGAGTGTACTGTAAGGCAGTGGTTCGCAACAAGGGGTACACATATCCCTGGGGGTACGCAGAGGTCTTCCAGGGGGTATGTCAACTCACCTAGATATTTGCCTAGTTTTACAACAGGCTACATGAAAAGCTCTAGTAAAGTCTGTACAAGCTAAAATTTCATACAGACAATGACTTGTTCATACTGTTTCTCAAACTGGGGCTCATGATTTAGTTTATAATTATATGGTAAAAATGAGAAAGTGAGCAATTTTTCAGTACTAGTGTGCTGTGACACTTTTGTATTTTTATGTCTGATTTTGTAAACAAGTAGTTTTTAAGTGAGGTGAAACTTGGAGGTATGCAAGACAAACAACCTCCTGAAAGGGGTATAATAGTCTGGAAAGGTTGAGAGTCACTGCTGTAAGGAATAGCCTTGCTCTGCTTGAGAAGAGGGGGTACAGTAGGCATAATGAAACAAGTCTTTGCCCCATGTCTAAGGGCTGAGATTCTGCTCACTCAGACACACTTATTTCCAGACACAACTTAACAGACCTTCACCATGAGGAAATGTTGTTGAGTGGTCAGCCTTATTTTTTCCGTTCACAATTCTTATCCATGTACTCCTGGTTCTGCAATATATTAGAACAGCCCATACAATCCCTCTGTAATGCTGGTAGAAGAGACACAGGGAGGTTGGATGAATAGGAGCACTAGTTAAAAATAGGAATTCTTTTATCAGAAATTTTTTGAAGAAAACGATAACACATTATTTCAGTCAACATTTCTACAGAATGTTTCCAATTTTTTGATAAAACAATTAGAAACAAAAAAAATTCAACCATCTGTAATTAATAGCTTGATTTTTAGGCTATATTCATACAGGTCCACAGATAACGTGATAATTTAATCATATATACTAGGAATGTGGTAAGAAAACTCTTCATAATAATATTTAGTATTTTGCATCCATAGATTTCAAAGCACTTCACTAGGCTGGGTGGACATTACAAGTTTTACAGCTTGGGAAATTGAGGCACAGATCAGTTAAGTGACTTGCCCAAGGTCACATAGCAAGTGTGGCCTAGTTGGGAACAGAACCCAAACCTCTTTATTCCTGGCCCAATTTTCAAAAGAGCTCTCCACCCAACATGCTGAGCCTTTGAAAATCTGTCCTCCTAGTTTGCTGCATATATGTGAGTTGAGCTCTTTTGAAAATCTGGCCCACAGAGTCTGGTGCTCTGTTCATTGAAACCCACTGCCCCTCTGTCCAATAAGGCACTGTCTAGACATCATTCCCTTGAAGAAATAATATCTGTGGAGGAAGAATGGGGATCTCTTTCAGAAGATGGCAGGACAAAGATGGAAAACCTAGCATCCAGGAAGGAAAATCTAGTATTAAACAATAGGAAAAAATTATTATGAGCCAGAGGAAGTGGGCCATGGAATTGACTCCCCTTGTGGAATGGGTGTAGTATCCCCTCTGCCACTGCAAAGTCAAGAGCAGAATAAAGAAAACTGTAGTGGAAGCGATGGAGCTGATGAGTCCTGTGAAAGTGGGAAGTACATCAATAGCAGAGGTCCTCCCTATGTGCCTTTCATGGTCATATAGGTTTGTATTCACATGTGTTCATTTTGTCTCTATAGAGAGACACCACAGGCCTAGCCCTGCAGTCCCTATTCAGGCTAAACTTCCATTGACTTCAATGAGAGTTCAGCCTGTGTGAGGAGTGTGTAGAGTCAAGCCCTTGAACCGTAAGTTGCTACTTTGCTCAGTTTTACTACTGCCCTGTGTCTCTGTGCTCTGGATATGAACAGTATTTTGCCACAGGAACCAAACTGACTGTCCTGGGTAAGGAAGGGTTTGTTTGTTTGTTTGTTTGCTAAATAACAAAACATTCACAGTCTTGGGCTTCTGTCTCAAGCTTCTCTTTGGATATTTGCGGGCTGGATTTTTTCTTCCTTTTGTCCTTTTTAAAATTGCGGGAGAGAAAGCAAAGAGAGCTTGCTGAGAGATTGGAAAGTTTGGGTTAGCAAAAGGAGGGTGCAGTCTTCAGCATCTTTTTCTGAGGTGAAACAGAGCACCCCAATGCAGTAAGGAATTACAGAGCAACAGGGCTCAATCAATGATGAGATATAGAGACTTTACATTTGCTCTGTAGCTGTTTTTTTTTAAATATTGGGGCCAGATTCTGCGGCCAACACTTCTTATTGACTTCAGTGGAGGTGGTACATATACAGTGGTTACTGATTGAGACTCGAGTACAGTATAATAAAAAAATATAATTTTCTCTTTTGATTTAAAATGATGGGCCTTCTGTGTAGAGTTCTAAAGAGGGCATTGAATCTGCCTCTAGAAGCATCTCCCTCCTCACACAACACGTTCAGAGTCAGATACATGGATCCAGGAGGGGTTGTTGGCACAAGGCAGGAGAAGGTTTGTGCAGGGCTCTCTGTGTCATCTTGATTTCTGTTCCAGAGGATGTGTCCAAAATCAGTGCCCCCAAAGTGGCCATCTTTCCTCCATCGAAGCAGGAGATCAAAGAGAAGAGGAAGGCCACCCTGGTGTGCCTGGTCACAGGTTTCTACCCTGACCACATCAAGCTGGTTTGGCGGGTGAACGGTGTTGAGAGGAAAGAGGGGGTGAGGACGGATGAATCTCTTATGGACAAAAACGAAGAAAAATACTCACTGACCAGCCGCCTGAGGATCTCACGCCAGGAATGGTCCAACCCCAAGAACGTATTCCACTGCAAGGTTGAATTCTACGGGAATGGGACAGAAGAATGTGATAAATTCATCAGTGGTGTAGCTGGTGAGTACTGAGCACAAAAGCCCTAGTGTGCTGGGATCTGGCCTCTTCAGCATTCCCACCTGTAGGGTTAGGAGTTGGAATGGAAGGCAGGGCTCCTGCCTAGCACACTACGTCATCATCACTTAAATCACTGCTGTCCCAAGAGAGAGTCCAAGAGTGGGAATTGTCACCGCAGAGTTCTGCAAAGCAGAGCAATTTGCTAAACCCTGGGGCACCAGGACCACTGTATGCCACACTCCAGCCTCTGCCAGCCCTTGGGATCTGAGACCGGAATCCAAATCAGCTCTCCTACAAGCTAGTGAATAGACACATAATTCTCCCTTCCACCCTTCCCCCACCCAATTAATTGTGGGAAACTGGGAGTTCCTTGTAAAAGGCACATATATCTGGGCTCAGATACTAACTTCTGCTTGTTTCTCCTTTCAGATTGCAGTGTCTCAGAAGGTCAGTTAAAGCCCCTTCTCCCTCTGTATGGTATGCATGTGCACATGAATGTTCAGGTGTGCATGCACGTATGTATACATTGATTTACTGCTGTGGATGTTTGTGCATGTGGGCATATGTATTCATGCTGTCATGCACAGGTGTGCATGTGCTTATGTGCATATTTGTATGTGTGGGTGCACATGTGTGTACATGTTTCTTGGTTCACAGAGATGTGGGTGTGCACGTGTGAGTATGTGCATAGGAACATACACTGGGACTCACACCCCTCCACTCACAAAAAGTTCTGTGGGACCTGTACTAACCACCACTGGCCAGGAACTCAGCTTTAGATCTCATCCTAAAGATATAACCTTCAGCAGCACAGAGCCCCTAAGACCACACTGGGTCAGTAGGTTCAGTACTGACTCAGAAGGGACAGCACCCCCTATTGAGTCACCTACCCCACTCTCTGCAGCACAGCACCCCCTAGCACCACACTGATGGATTGGGATCAATGTTAGCTTTGGGGGAAGGCTGCCACCTTCTGAGTCGCCACCACTTCTTCAAACTCTTAGGTTTTCCTTAGCAGTCTTCAAACCAATTGCTGGCCAGGGCTGACAATCTTTAGCTTTGGATCCAGCCCTCCTTGATGGTACAGCCATAGGCAGCCAAATGGGCAGTCGGTGCAATGCTTATCTGTAAAATCCACTATCTTCTGCTAATCTATAGGATTAAAAGAGCCCCCCTGGGCTAGGTAAATTCTCCAAAGAAATCTTTCACTTCTCTGTTGGTTTTGATGTATTATTTTCCCCCTTGCTTTTCAGAGTCGTATCTGAGAAGTGCCATGGCAGGCAAGAGTGTGTACGTTCTGCTCATTTTCAAGAGTGCCTTGTATGGGGTCTTTGTGATGGGGCTAATGCTAAGGAACAAGGTGAGAGGAGGTTTCTTATTCTATGCACTCTGGACCAGGTCCATTCTAACTAGAATAGAGGTGGTGGGTGGGGAGGGGACTAGTTTGGACAAAATGAGAACAGCCATGAACCTCTGCACCTCCCCCCCACCCCCCAATGAAATCTGCACGACTTTTAAGATGTAAAACAGTTTAGTGACGTGTTTCCGCGCCCCTTCCCCCATGTCTCTGCATCTCCTGGTTTGCAAGAGAGTGAGCTAGAGTGATGGAGAGAGTGCAAGTGTTGAGAGAGAGAAAGGGGGAGAGAGAATGCAAGAGAGAGACAGGAGACGGAAGAGGAAGAGTGAAATGTGACATAGACAAAAGATGGGGAATGAGAGAAAATTGAGAGAAGAGGAAGAAAGATGAGAGTGAAACAACCGAGAAAAAATGAGAGAACAGAGAGAGAATCAGAAAACATGTGAGGGAAAGAGAAAGAAAATGAGAGAGAGAATAAAAAGCGAAAGAGAGAGTGAGTTAAGAAAGCTTGTTTATCTAGTGGTGTGCTTGCAGTCATCCATTCTTTCTCATTTTTAACAGTGCTTATCGGAAATATGTTGAGGCCATCTGAGCTGACTCTTTCTTTTCCAATCACACATGAGGCCTTCAGCATAGTCAAGCAGAAACCACAGTTTCTGTTGTGCAGAAACTTTCATAGCCTTAGTGACTGAATGGGAAAATCCAGTGTAAGGTTGCACCCATCGGATATGCCCCTGACCATTACTTAACAGGAAGCACCAACAATAAAATAGCAGTGAATCCCCTCCAGCTATAGCACTGGCTGGTGGCAGTGGGAATCTGAGAAATTACAGATAAAAAGACACATTTGGTCACAATTTGTCCATTTTCTTCCCCCACACCAGTCAATAGAGGATTGTTTCCTGAGGTCTAGTCCCCAGGGTCAATTTGTGTCTATCCTTGAGGTGTACACCATTCAAACACAGTGACCCTGATTTTTCTGTTACTAAGGGTTTGTCTACACTTAAAACGCTACAGCACTTCAGTGAAGACACTACCTATGCTGGTGAGAGTGGTTCTGCTGTCGGAGGATGTAATCCACCTCCCCGAGAGGTGGTAGCTACGTCAATGGGAAAATTCTCCTGTTGATCTAGTGCTGTCTGTACTAGGGGGTAGGTCAGTTTAACTCTGTCACTCAGGGGTGTGGATTTTTCACATCCCTGAGCAACATAGTTATACTGACCTAATTTTCTAGTGTAGACCAGCCCTTACACCAGTATTATGTTGGAGTGATCCCATTAATGTAAATGGAGTTATTCCTGATTTACACCAGCATCAGTGAAAGGAGAACCAGCTGATCTATCTATCTACTAAAATATTAATCTAATTTAATCAACCTTCTGTCAATTAGGTACCCAGTACATATTTAGTTCCTTTAATGTCTCCTCATAAATTAATCTATCTAGATCCTTAATCTATGAACCAGAATGGAGATGGGGATGGCTGTGCATGAACAAGCTGCACTATGGAAAACTTGACTGTTTGCTCCTCCCCCTGGTGTTTCAATCACAGGATGATCATTGCTTGGTTCTCAGTGGTTAGTGATGGCCCATGACTAATCTCCAGTTCTATTCCCTTCCCTCCCACAGCAAGTGCAGTAGAAGAAGCTGGCCCAAGGTGGATGACACAACTTCCTGGAGAAAGAAGGAGCTGCAGCTGCATTCATTTTACAAGTCCTGATTTTTTTCAGAAACCAGCACAGCACTTAGGCTTTTGTTACAATAAATGTACAAAGACAGCAATTTAGGGTTGTCTGGCTGTATTTGCTTGTTTGAAACAGCAGCTTTTAATAAACATTTATGGAATCCTTAATGAGGTTTTCTGCATTTTTTTTTGTCAGCTGCTAAAATATGAAACAAAAATGCCTGTAACATTCACAGAACTTAGAGAACATAGTATATTAGACTGGCTTTGTTTGTGAATACATGAGCGAATGATGTCAGGCCACAGAAAGGATAAGAGACCTAACGCTACTGCCAGCTAAGTGGGGGAGTGGGGTTGGGTTGTCGCTGTTAGTGTAAATGGAAGAGGCCTGTGTTTCTTGAGCTGAAGGGCTAGAATTGTAGTCCAATCTCCCAAGGGGTCTCTATGTGTGAATTATGTAGCAATTGTATTGGCTGCAGTATATGAGTCCATTACAATAGGGAGTCTCCATGCAATGTCATCCCACTGTGCACCTACTCTTGTATTGCACCCTCTGCTTTGCCAAGAGGAACCCACCTCCTGTTTTACTGAAAGAAACTCATTGTTCCTACTAGTCAGGTTTTCTCCTTCCTGTTACAGTGGATCAAAGCATTGGACCATCTAGTCCAGTGTCATCCCATCTACTAGTTTACCAGGAGAGAACCATGCATCCATCTACACTAGTATCTTACTTCTTGCTGTGTTGGAAAAAACACTGTTCCATCTCATCCAGTCCCGTTTTTGATAATGGAGAATAAGAAAGCTTAACTCTCTCTCCCCCATTTTGTCCATCTATCTAAATATCTATCTTAAGTATCTTTACAGAAACCCACAGGAGTGCATGGCACTCTACAGGTAAAAAGACAAGGGTCCTGACACTAGGAGCTTACACTCTCAGGCTTGATCTATACTTAAAAAATTATATTGGCATAGCTACGTCAGTCAGGGGTGTGAAAAAAACACAGCCCCAACCGACATATCTACGCAGAGAAAATACCCAGTGTAGTTGCAGCTATGCCTATAGAAGATTGTTTCTTTTGACATAACTAACATCATTGAGGGAGGTGGTGTGCCTACATGGACACAAAAACTTCTGTTGGTATGGGCTATGTCTACACAAGGAGGCTATGCTGAGATAGCTACGCCAGCATAGCCTCGGTAGAGTAGACATAGGTGAAATCTGGAAGATAACACAAGAAATAATGACACCAGGCTATGGTGAGTTTTGTAGTGAAGAGGCAGCCATGCTGGCTCACTTCTTTTACCATGTAGCATTTTGAGTTGCACCACATGTAAAGTAGCATTGCTACCACTAGAAGGGCTCTCATAATAGTCATGGAACATTTCATTTCAAGCCATTTATTATTATAGTGGTGTGGAAGTAAGGAAGGGAAAGGGACAATAGTGAAAAATGGGAGTCATATACTGCTTAGCAGTCAGTGCTGTTTTAAGCTTGAAAAATAGATAACACAAGTTTTTATGTTTCATTCATTTCTTGGGCATTAGTAGTGGAAACCATCTAAAAATGGTACAATATTATACAACAAGAGGAGTTTCTTCCTCACCACAGACAGTGAAGCAGGAGAACTGATAACCCCAGATAGTGTCCCTACAAATATCCTTATTCATAAGATTGTCTAACCTTTTTTTTAACTCTTACTAAATTAATATCCTTTGGCAGTGGGTTCCTCAGGTTAAATATTGAGTGATTCAGAGGCAGCTCATTTAATCCCAAGGCACGGTGAGGGGAAGCAAGGACATCTGTTATGTAGAGATATGTCCAAGCCAAAGCCCAGTATCCAAACACCCCCAGATTCTATAAGTTCAAATCCAGATCTGAATTTTGTGACTCATGCCCATCTCTAGTTTTATGTTTTCATAGATTCATAAATTCCAAGGCTAGAAGAGACCATTGTGATCATCTAGTCTGAAATTCTGTATAACCCAGGCCATAGATCTTCCCAAAAATAATTCCTAGAGCAGATTTTTTAGAAAAACATTTAATTTTGATTTTAAAATTATCAGTGATGGAGAATCCACCACAATCTTTGGTAAATTGTTCCAGTGGTTAATTACTCTCACTGTTAAAGATTTATGCCTTATTTCCAGTCTGAATTTGTCTAGATCCAACTTCCAGCCATCAGATCATGTTATACCTTTCTCTGCTATATTGAAGATCCCATTATTAAATATTTTTCCCCATGTAGATACTTATAGACTGTAATCAAATTACCCCTTACACTTCTCTTTGTGAAGCTAAATAGATTGAGCCTTTTGCATCTATAAGGCAGGTTTTCTAATCCTTTAATCATTCTGGTGGCACTTCTCTGAACCCTTTCCAATTTATCAACATACTTCTTGAATTGTGGATACCAGAAATGCACACAGTATTCCAGCAGCAGTTGCAAAAATACCAAATACAGAGATGAAAATAATTTCTCTGCTCCTACTCAAGATTCTCCTGTTTATACAACACAGATTGCATTAGCTTTTTTGGCCACAGAGTCACACTGGGAGCTTATGTTCTGCTGATTATCCCCAATGATCCCCAAATCTTTTTCAGAGTCACTGCTTCCCAGGATAGTCTCCCATTATTTAAGTAATTTATTCCCAGATGTATACATTTACGTTTAGTCATATTAAAACACATATTATTTGCTTGTGCCCAGTTTAGCAAGCAATCCACATTGTTCTCAACCTGTTGTCTTTGTTATTTTTGTATCGTCTGCAATTTTTGTATCATCTGCAAACTTTATCAGTAATGATGTTATGTTTTCTTCCAGGTCATTGATAAAATGTCAAATAGTATAGGGCCAAGAACTGATCCCGTGTGACCCCACTTGAAACACATCCACTCAATGACTATTCCCAGTTTACAATTACATTTTGAGACCTATGCAATGTAGTTGTAACTATGTTGGTCCCAGAATATTAGGTAGTCAGGAGACAAGATGGGTGAGGTAATATCTTTTATTGGACTAACTTCTGTTGGGGAGAGAGACAAGATTTAGGCCACTCTACCTTGAATGGTTCCTTACAATATGTATTAACTAGTTATGCTAAACAATCTGTTCCGCTCTGCATTTTGCTGTGATGCTGGGAGTTCCTTTCCCAGACTTGAAAAAGAGCTCTGTGTAGCTTGAAAGCTTGTCTCCCTCACCAACACAGTTTGTTCTAATAAAAAATATTACCTCTTCACCTTCTCTCTCATTTCTAGACCTATCAGTTAGCCAGTTTTTAATACATCATTCTAGTCTTTTAATCAAAATGTTAGGCAGTGCCAAGTCAAACACATTACAGAAATCTAAATATATTGTCACCCTATTACCTTTATCAAAAAATTGTCAACTCATCAAAAAAAGATATCAAGTTAGTTTGACAGGATCTGTTTTCCATAAACCCCCGGTGATTTGCATTAACTACATTATTCACATTTAATTCTTTATTAATCAAGTTCTGTATCAGCTTGTCCATTATCTTGCCCAGGATCGATGTCAGACTCACTGGTCTGTAATTACCCAGGTCATCCTGTTTACCCTTTTTAAAAATTGGCACAACATTAGTTTCCTTCCAGTCTTCTGGAACCTCCTGAGAGCTACAAGACCTATTGAAAATCAATATTAATGGTCCACTAAGAGCTCTTCAGTCAGAGCTTTTCAAATTGTCTCATGCAAGTTATCTGGACCTGCTATTTAAAAATATCTAACTTTAGTACATTCTGTTTAACATCTGCCAGAGATACTAGTGGAATGGAAAGAGTGTTATCATCACTATATGATTAGACTGCATCGTCTGTTTCTTCCCCAAATACAGAAAAGAAATATTCATTGAACACTTCTGTTGCATTATTATTGATAATTCTACCTTTGCCATCTAGTAATGGAACAATATCATTGCCATGTTTGTGGTAATGAGCAGGGATTCAGATGGCAATACTCTCCCTTGGAAGGATAAATTCTTACTTAAAGAGACATAACTTCCATATCTCTTTAAAGAGTTCAATCATTATTGTGGAAGGACTTCGATGCAATACAGATCTAAGGACAGCAGCAAAAAGGCTAAGGGAAAATGATAACTAGGGTCCAAAAACGTACAAAGCTGCCTAGACAGGCTTGGTTAAAATCACCATAGTACCCATTTGTGCACTTTAGTATTATCAGTAATCACTCCTAGAAAAGGAAGGTGAATAGCAGGGGCTTGAATAGCAGGGGAGCAATAGGGCAGGACTGAGGGACATTGGCAGGGTTGTGTGGGAAGCCCAGGACTGGAATAGCAGGGGGCTGCAGGGCAGGACTGAGGGACATTGGCAGTGCTGGGTGGAGAGCCCAGCACTGGAATAGCAGGAGGCTGCAGAGCAGGACTGAGGGGCATTGGCAGAGCTGTGAGGGGAGCCCAGGACTGCAATAGTAGCGGGTGCTGCAGTTCAAGGGTGAGATGGAGCTGGAGAGCTCAGCATGGGATGGCAGAGAACATTTCAAACGGCCTCGTACGCAGATTAAAAGAGGCAAGGGAATGGCTTAAATTATGACCCTAACCAACCTTGATATTGTTCATTTACGAGAATAGCAGTTGAGTTTTATACATAACAGGATGCGGTTTAACATTTGCTTGTGAAACCGTTTCTGTAACTCATCATCACTTCTTTCCACAGCAACCCCCCGCACTCCACTCTGAGGCACATGTTAGACTGAAATAGCAGTGCCTATCTGTCCCACCTAGGCTGGTGGTTTGGCCGCCTTGCGTTATCACATAATCTTGCTGCACAGAAGGCTGTGTTTGCAGAAGCAGCCGTTGCTCCTGATGTGTCACATGAAAACGAGGGGTTTGTGGGTCTTTGTAGGTCACTGACCTGTTTTCAAAAATGAGAAAAACATGATTTTTCTGGGTCTCTCTTGAATGACAAACATGAGGCACTGAAAGAGAACTGCTGATTGCATATTGCCTCAGCACCCCCTTTTTCCTCACAGTCACTGCAGGATTGTTCCCTACTCTGTTCTCCAGAGCTGCCTCTGGTCTAGTTTTAAATATCTAAGTAACAGGGTTTCCACTTTTCCCTTGGGAAAGTAGAGCGCAGGATAATACATTTTCTCACTGTGAGGGAATGTTACCTAGTTATCCAGCT